AGAATAAGGATCTCAATAGCTTCTGAAGATCTGCTATAAGAGGGGGAAGCCAATGAACTTTCTCTGTGTATGGCTATCGTACGTCAACCCAGATTTTCTTGGAAAACTCCCATCTGTGTGTATTCCCTGAGACTGCATCTGCTGACCATCGAGCACTGTAAGAAATCTAGAGTTTATGAGATGAAGGCGATCTGGAAAGCAAGCTCTGGTACTGCCATGTGTGTGCAGACTCGCTGTACGCTTCAGTGGATCCTTCTGTTGAGGCTTCAGTGGATCACTCTGTTGAGGTCCTTCCTTGATGCCATGTTGCCATGTGTCTGGGAGCTTGAAAAAAATCAACAGTTCCTCAGAGCACACCCAGAAGGATTTTTGTGGCAGAAAGAGTGGCAAGTTGGTGTGTGACAGTTTTGCATCCTTGGTTCTTGTCCTAAGGATAAGGCCTCAGGAGAAGGGATGGTGGCCTGGACACAGCCTTGGAGAGCTGTTGCGCCTGACTGCACTAAAATAGAGATGTCAGCAATTGAAAAACACAAGAAGCTATTCCTGCTAAAGTGAGTTAGTGTAAATTGTTGAAGGTTTACATGATATGAGGAACTAGTCAAAGCTGTAGTTACAATAGATATTTTTCCTGTGTGTTGTTACGTACTATCTACTTGTTCTTTCCCCAAATCGACCTCTAGGTGGTGGAAAAAAATAGAGGAAATCTTTGGAAAATGCTGGCACACCAGTGTTGGGCTGACTGATATGCGCTCCCTAGATCTGTTTTCTCCCTCTAGCACTATCTTTTAGGAGAAACACTCAAATTCTGCAGCTCCTTCTGACATACAAGGGCTTAAATCAGGATTAAATCCCACTGAAGAAGTCAGTGGTGTTACACCAGTGCACAAGCTGGTGTGAGATAAGTCAGGAACCCTTTGTGATTCTTATTTCATTAGGGATATGAAATGTAGCTGCTGGCTGGTTTAAGACAAGTCAAGCATCCTCTGTCAGAAGGAAGCTATCCCTCGACACCAAGCTGTGCCGTGTTCATGATGGGTAAGCATGGATGTTATATGTGCAAAGGAATGTTTTTCCATCTGTGTGTGTTAGATTGAGCATAATACAATATTTAGTGTATGTGAATGCTGGGAACCAGGCTGGAAGCCCAGCATGCAAACCAGTTAGCTGTGTGTGCCCCGGGTGGAGCAGCAAAACCAGCGTGGCATCTTCTCATAACTGGGCCCGTCTCCAAAAAGCTAATTTTCAAACAGCAGCATTTCAGATGTGGAGTTTCCAGAGGTGAGGTGGGCTGTGTGTGATCAGCTGTGTTTGACTGGCACAGGACACATCACTGCTGGTGTCAAGTGTTTTGCGAGCGCGCGATAAACCGTTTGAACAAAATCCTCCCCGTGGAAGGTGATGTTGCCTGGCTTTAATTAAGTGGTTACCAGTGTGTTAGCTCAAAACCCAAAGCTGGCTGTTGTTTCATTTTCCCTATAGTCTTAAATCAAAAGAGGGGCTTTTGAGGAACACGAGAACAAAGGTTGTTCTCCACCTTCCTATTTATTTTAATACTAAAGAAAGAAAAAAAACCCAACCCATAATGTTTCTATCAAGTTCTGGATTATTTTGGTTATGGCTTATTTCTGTTCATAATAATTATATTTGCAGTTTATAGTACATTGTATGCTGCTAGTGAGGGGCTTGAAGCCAAAGCTATGAAAGATGATCAAATGTTTCTCCCAGTGTATGCTTAAGCTTAGAATTCGGCTTTTTGCGAGTTCATAAATGTCTTAAGGTTGCTGTTTTTCACTGCACAGATGAGAACCTGTTTTTTCAGATAGTGGTAAACCTTCCTCGGGATTTAGAAACTCCATATGAAGTAGCGTACACGGTGCACTGAAAGCATGTAATTAATTACTTTTAAAACAAGATGCTAAGGCTGTCTGCTCTGTACAACCAGAATGCAAGCTGCCCATTTTTACAAAATTGTTTGACTGCATGAAACCCCATTATTTCTAATTAAAAGTCTGAGAACATCCAACTGATCAAGTAATTTGTCTGAAACTTCTCTTAATGCCTTATAACAATGAAAAAAGACCTACATATTTCCTTCTTAAATGTCATTGCTAGAGTGCCTGCAAGCATGAGTCATTTTTTGTGTCTGACCAGTGGTGAGAAGGAAGTGAATGATACCTTACGGGTGTTTGCAGCACATCTACAATCAGCAGAAATACTTTTATATACCATACTTCTTGTGTTAGGGCTCTTTTTGCAGGAGGAAGGAAGCTATTTACCATCACAATTTTTCTCTTATACAATGAGAAATAAATGGCACTGTTAAATATTTTGATTTCATACTTGTCTCAGAATAATGCAGAATTTTCACAGTTGAGAGGTTTGAAAATAAAATGCTACATGGTTTCTAGTCTACTGCCTAGTATCCCGGGAAGGTGCTGAAATCCATTTTCAGGGATGTATGTTGTTATTGATGGTTTTGCTCTTATCTTTCACTGGGGCAGTTATTTCTTGGGACAATAAGGAACGTTTAAAAATGCATTTAATTTAGTCTTCAGGTGAGGGTGATGGCTGCAGTTGAGCCTTTACAGGTGTGGAAAGTAAAGCCACAGCGTAAGACTATTGGCATTGTAGGAGACAATACAGAGCAGAGAGACAGGAGACAACCTGCTCTATAATGTCATGGTGAGCTGAATGTCTGCCAGGGAGAAAGAGAGCATGCTTCGAGGAGGAAATGTAAAATGCTGCTTTATATGTTTTGAATATTTCCATTGCTTTTTTAGTGTGATAAAAATGGTGTTTAGGTTTCCCCTAGAAATAAACACAGGGAGTTGATGTGGCAAACAAAAAACCCTTTTAATAGTGCAGTAGCATACAGCTAACTGCACTACAGTTTAGGTTCTGTTGATATTTCCATCCCAAATCCAATTTTCAAAATTTTTTTCAGCTGTAAAAGTCTGCTTCATCCTGAAACTTGGCAAGGTGTTTCTCTGCCTGAGAGTGAACTTTCTTCTTTTTCAACTGAAGTGTACCTGAATTCTTAATTTTTAGGATTTTATAAGCACTTCCAGAGTGTTAGTTGTTGTTATGCCAGTGGGCATGCTGAAGTGATTCTCTGGCAGAAGGATACAGAGTGTGGGTGTGGGTGGCTGTAAAATACTGATGATTTAATGTACGATGAGAGATGTTGTATTACCTGTCTGGTTAAATCACCCTTTGTGGTGAAGGGATTGTAATCCTTATCATAACAAACAAGTTAGTTTCCCAGGGAGATGTAACAGAGGAAGGGACCGAGCAGACTTCTCTACAAGACGTTGCCAGTGTGTGCTAATCTCAATCTACAGGATTGTATCTGCTCCTTTGCTGGGCTGATCTTTGAGTGACTTCAGTTTGTGTTACATTGCAGTGAGTCGCATGATGATGTTCAGATGAATGTGGAGTAGGATTAGACCAAAACCCATTCTCTGGCCAGTCCTCAGGAGGTATAAAGTGATAGGTCTCCTGCCCTGACTGGAACTACTAGCCATCCAGAGGAGTGCAAAAATGTTTTATCTCAGAGGCTTTTTGTTGCAGAGTTTCCAAAGAAAGCAGTGGGAATGGGGTGGGTTACTGACTTCTGTGCCATTAAAAATAATTGTGGGAATTGATCCCTTCTTTACTCCAATCTTAGCACCCCAATCAGTGTTTTAGGCGTTTAGTATTTGCCTTTTGCAATTTGAAATATGTTAATCATGGCACTCCTTAAATTTTATTATTTTTTTTCTTAGGACACTCAAAAATGGTGTAGTTAAAGGAGGTACTCTTTTGCTACCTTGATTTCGGTTTGGTTCATAGCGGACTTGATGTCCTGTCCAAGCGCTGGCTGGTGTCCAGACCTAGCTGATGTTAACAGGGAGAGAATGTATTCACACAGAATCTTTCCTTCATCCTTGACTCGTACTTTGCCAGAAGTGCCCCTCAGCTACCCTCTCACAGCTCTGTAAAACAAAACCTTCAACTTCTGTTTGCATTCAGTTATCTCTCAGGCTTCCATTGAGCTGCTCTCCAGCAGCGCATCTGAGGCTGCTGGTTGTGAGTCTTTGTCTGGTCCTTCCTCCCAGCGTGTATTTACTCTGCACATTATCTCTCCAAATCTGTTCAAGTATGTGTTTTAGCAACCGAGACCGATTGTAGGAGGACATGAATGCCTCATGCTTTTTCCGGTTCTTGATGGAGGATTTCATAGCACTAGATCACCTGGGATGAAAAGCTTTAAGCTGTTATGTTATCAGGATACTGCTCTCATAAACTATTGAATTATTAAAACATTTCAAACTTCTGCTGAAAAGTACAACTCATGAATGAGGCTCAGCATTTCTCTGTGCTTATGAAATGTTCTTCTCTGACTTCACTTTTCAAGGTCTGAATATGAATTTTCACCCTTCTATTAAATGTGGATATTTTATCGTAATTTATCCAGTCCGGTGCAGCAGAGATAGTGTGATGGTGCTACAGACCCCTCCTGTTAACAGTTCCTCCTCTAACAGTTCCAGCCTTGAATCACGTAACAATTTTGCCTATTCAATTCTTCTTCTTTGGAGTTCTGTAGGGACATTGAAAACGTTGCAGTCTCCCTGTGTGCTGGAACGTCCATGGAGGGATGTATTGGAAACGTACCTGGTTGAACTTAGGCCCTGCCTGTGCTCACTGCAGTCTGTGGGAGCCCTTCCTTGACCCCGAGAGTTTGGGTCAGGGTCCAGCTACTGAGAATACAGCCATCTTTTTCTTTTTCTTTTTCATGAAAATATTTGTGTATTATGTGTTGTCTTTATTATGCACATGTAATGTTTATGTGCCTTTTAATCATATTGCTGATGAAAGCGGTATTAACTATTAGTGTATTCATATCGCAGGTTTCCTGTAACTATTGATATTCCTGTTCAGGACAATATTAGTCCTGTGATTACGACGGCAGGTGCTTGTTATTAACCTCTGGTTCTTTCTCTCCCCTGTCCCTTTTTTAGAGGCCTTTGAGTCGTTGCTTCGCTTTGCTGAAAACCGCACAAGTTCCCTGTTTGAGACAGCTTACAGACCTATGGCAAAAGAAGCAGCAGAGCCTGTTAAAGAACTCTTTACAGACCTCTCTCTCTACATTCTGGGCGCAGAGACTACAGTGGAAAGCGCGGTGTTACGGTTCTTTGACAGTCTCTTTCCTCTGGTGTACAGTCGACTAATAAACCCAGGAATTACAGATTTATCAGAGGACTATACAGAATGCCTGCGGCTCACGAGGCAAGACATCAATCCCTTTGGACGCCATTCTAAAACCATGGTTACAGAGCTGTCGAAATCTCTCTGGGCGAGCAGGATGCTCAGCCAGGCCCTCAGTCTGGGCATCGAAGTGATCAATACTACTGAACACGCCGCCCTCACCAAGGAATGCAGCAGAGCTCTAGTGAAGATGCAGTACTGCCCCCACTGCCAGGGGCTGACGCTAATCAGGCCCTGTGTCGGATATTGTCTCAACGTAATGAGGGGCTGTTTGGCCAGCGTGTCGGAACTGGATGCACAATGGAGGGAGTACATCTCCACGCTGGAATATCTGACTAATGAAATGGCTGCCTCACATGATCTGGAAACGGCACTGACGGGCATCCGGAACTCCATCAATGAAGCCATCCTGCACGCACAGTTGAATGGGCCCCAGCTCTCCGCTACGGTAAGTGCTCTCTAATTATTCTCTACTCCCGTTTATCACTTTCATTATTTGATGAATAAACGTTTAAACAAGCCGCCTGCGGCTCACGAGGCAAGACATCAATCCCTTTGGACGCCATTCTAAAACCATGGTTACAGAGCTGTCGAAATCTCTCTGGGCGAGCAGGATGCTCAGCCAGGCCCTCAGTCTGGGCATCGAAGTGATCAATACTACTGAACACGCCGCCCTCACCAAGGAATGCAGCAGAGCTCTAGTGAAGATGCAGTACTGCCCCCACTGCCAGGGGCTGACGCTAATCAGGCCCTGTGTCGGATATTGTCTCAACGTAATGAGGGGCTGTTTGGCCAGCGTGTCGGAACTGGATGCACAATGGAGGGAGTACATCTCCACGCTGGAATATCTGACTAATGAAATGGCTGCCTCACATGATCTGGAAACGGCACTGACGGGCATCCGGAACTCCATCAATGAAGCCATCCTGCACGCACAGTTGAATGGGCCCCAGCTCTCCGCTACGGTAAGTGCTCTCTAATTATTCTCTACTCCCGTTGTTGACTTTCATTATTTGATGAATAAACGTTTAAACAAGCCACAAGCCGGTGTTGTCTTCGCACCAGTTTTTAGGCTTCAACTAGAACTTTGTTTAATAGTCTGTGGAAAACATTACAGATAATTATGATGGGGTTCAGTAGAGTCTGCTTTGAAATGAAAGGAGGGAGGGATGGGAGTTTGTTCCTTGAGAAGCAGCCCTGTAATGCAGATAGCTCCGGCTTGTCTGCAGAACTTTCTAAACAAAAAATGGGGTATATTATACTTGATATCAACAATGTATTTTCATACTCTAAAATACTGATTCTGTAATTCTAGGAGCAGTGTTTGTAGCGTGTGGGGATATTTCACAGTGTAAGGGTTTAGAAGAGTAGGTTTCTAAATAAAGGCAAAGACAGTAACTGTTTCATAATTTTACAGTCCTTTTAGTTTTGTGTTGACTGAGCCATCAGGAAGGTACTACGGGTCTATAATGAGTACATGTGTCATACAAAAGATGAAAGAACACCATAAAAAAAAATATCAAACTTACTTGACAGCATTTACATAAGTAAAAGATAAAAATATACTTTAAGGGGATCCACTTCTGTAAGTGGTAGGTTAAGGAGGAAAGAATGGGGATTGTAGAACTGGCATAAATAATAGCAGCATATGAATGTCAGGTGTTCTCTCAAGGTGTTGAAGTTCAGACCAGAAATTATTGAAATGACTAATGATGCAGCTGGCTACATCTCTATGAAGTTCAAGGTGACTGTCAGTGGAAAAAAAATGTAGCAGTGTGGCCTTAAGCAGGGCAAAGACTAATCTAAAAAATGCAGATAGATCTGCCTGTCTTGAAAGGAAAGTAATCCTTGCAGAGAACAAATGAGAACGAAATGCACAGATCTAAAAATTTAATTCCTGTGCTGGACTCTGGTCATCATACTATGTAAGAGAAAAAGTACTTCAAAGAGTCTACAGAAAGAAGCTATGGCAGAGGGTGTTCCGAACTAAGGAAGTATTTTACTAGGGGAAAAATGCCTGTATAGTTGTAACCTTCCAAGATACCTAATATTACAGTTCTCTTCAATTTAGAACACCTGACAGAGCCAGAGACTTACAGTCAGTATAATCTGTAGATTATAATAAAAAACTCCAACCACTCCTACTAATCTGATAAAATTTTTACTAGATATTTGTAGTTATCTCAGCTTACATTGCCTCAGTAATCTGTAGATTATAATAAAAAACTCCAACCACTCCTACTAATCTGATAAAATGTTCACTTGATATTTGTAGTTATTTCAGCTTACATTGCCTCATTGTTCTCCTTTCTTTTTGTCAATGACACCTGTGTCTGGTAGTTTATCTGACACCCAGTGATAAACGTGAAAAATTAAGCTAAGATTTGTCCAGGTCCTTGGATGGTGCACAGCAGGGATTGGAGCCTCCGTGCACTGTGGAACAGCAGGTCTTCCTCATGCTAATGCTGAGTTGTAGAGACATCATGTATCTCATAAAGCAGTGTTACCCCTAGAAACCAAAATGAACAATCTTCTTGCATCTGCTTTGATTTTCCCTGAGATCTTATTTTTATGTGAGTCTAGAAGGGAAATGAAAATCAAAGTACGCTATTACTATATATATTAGTTTTATCTCACTATAGATAGATACCTCTGAAATTATTGCATGGCTTCGCTACTGATTACACAGAAGTAATTAGGAATAAAGCTAAGCTTTCTGGCTACTAGCAGCAAAAATTGTCTGACAGATATTTCCTGCAATATGTGCAGCATGTGACAAAATGCTAAACCATAATTCTGCGTGACATTTGTCAGCCTTGTCATTCATATGTAGTTGCTTAGCCTTCTGACAGGGTAAAATGCATAATCCAGGTGAGTATCAGATAATTACAGATGAAGTCAATCAGTGTGTTGCTTTTAGCTGCTGTGGAAGTAGAATTCTCTCTGAAGTGTCTTTCAAGCTGAGGATTTTCTTTAATGGTTATTCAAATAATTTCATTAAGGTCATTTTCAGTTCCCTAGCAGTAACTTTAAAACTTTTCCTTCTGTTCAGAGTGAATTCAGAAAGGGCTGTTGTGTTTGAAACTGCATCAATTCCTTTTTTCCCCAAAGGTGTCTTTGTTTTCTCTCACTAGTGAAATCTCTGTGAACAGAAGATTGTGTGTCATTTTAGGGAACACTCTGTCAGAGAGCAAAGGATGTTTTCTGTTTGAAAATAAAAACTATACACCAGTGTGTTATCCTCAGACTTGTAAATTTTTGAGTTGTCAGCAAGGTAAGATTATGTTTTGAAGATGGAGCATGTTCATGTTCAGCTATTTGAGCAAGTATTTAGTCTGATACTGATTAAAACTTTACTGATTAGTTACAGAGGATAACCATTATTTAGAAAATTGAGCCTAATTAAGCTGTATTTCCTTCTCTGAAGAAACGGAAAGGAGTTCAATCTACAGCTTCAGGATTTCCGGCTGTGAGATGGCTTCTCGGAATCCGGGGCCTGATTCTCAATTACACTAGGGTCCTTTTTGGGGAAGGGGAATTGTACCCAGTGTATTTACTGTTTGTTTTACGTAGGGGGAATGTTTTTCAGACAAGAAGATGCCTTCTCTTTTCCCTTCATAAAAATGCAGATTTCTGTTAATGCGATCTGCTCTTGAGCTTCTGCAAAAGTGAAAATGTTTAACTTGCGTACAGTTTCTGTTACAAATGCTGTAATTGGTTTAATTCAATTATAAATAATCTATGGAAAACTCATTCAGGAAAGCAGAGCACTCCTAGTAATTTTCATTTATCCTGAGGCGGCCTTAATTAATGCATCTGCCCTTTTAGGAAACGTTTTACGTTTTTTTTAAAGACAATATGGCTAAAAATTAGAGTTCTTTTTTAGCTTGCTGCCTGCCTGGATGATAATGAATAATGGAAAGTTGGATTAGGTTTCCTTTAAAACAGGGGGAAAGGGTGAAATAAACCAATAAAGCACTTAGGATGCTTTGCTCAAGTGAGGTGCAGTCAATTATTACAAATATCTTTAAAAAAATCCTATTTGTATGATGAGTGCATAACTTCAAGAGTCTGGCCTCTGCTGATCTCGTCCATTATAGCCAAGAGAATTGCCTGATTTGCCAGGACAGCATGTGTGAAAGGTCACCTTTAAGATATTAGTAACCTCTCCTCAGATTCCTCCAGAATGTGCCGTGCCATTTGTTCAATAATACTGGCTTCCCTCCAGCTTACTTAACCTAATGCGGGCCAGCCACGCTCTGCAGCATCAGCAATCATCATCATTACTTTCTGGTTTGTCTGCTGGAATCTAATTGTCTTTCCTATTGGAAGGAGCCCTGGCTGCTGCTTGGTGCCAGCTGCAGAGACCAAGTTTGTTCACCCTTCCTTATCATTTTTGAGACATTTTCTCTGAGGTTTTTTTTTCCTTTTTTTTTCTTTTCTTTTTTTGTGTCTTTGTGTTTTAAAGCTGGTCAAATTTTTCCTGTATTCACTCTAGTGTATTGTTGTATTCCAAACTCTGTATTTGCGCATCATTCCTGATTTTTTAATTTGTGGGGTTTTTTTTAATTCAAAGTGAAAGTAAAATACCCTCAACTGAAATGTGAGGAGGAGGAGGAGAGGCAGCTTTGAAGTCCATGCTGGCCTCTGGCGCTCTGGGGAAGTGCATTGACCACTGTCCCTGGAGTCCAGTCCCACTGAGGCTGTGTTCCAGTTGCTTGTGTAGGATGAGTGTGGGCTTGTTGCAGCCCATCTCCAGTGGACCAAGGGTGAAGAATGGGGACAGGTATTGGAAACAGAATAACATATTTAGGGCAACAAGAATGGGGACAGGTATTGGAAACAGAATAACGTATTTAGGGCAACAAAGATGATTGAGGGATTGGAGCGTCTCCCTTGTGAGGAAAGGCTGAGAGAGTCGGGACTCTTTAGCCTGGAGAAGAGAAGGCTGAGGGGAGACTTTATTAATGTTTACAAGTATCTAAAGGGTGGGGTGAAGGAGGATGGAGCCGGTCTCTTCAGCGGTTCCCAATGACAGGACGAGGGGCAACGGGCACAAGCTGGAACATGGGAAGTTCCATTCAAATATGAGGAAAAACTTCTTCAAATTTAGGGTGCCAGAGCCCTGGAACAGGCTGCCCAGGGAGGGTGTGGAGTCCCCTTATCTGGAGATTTTCAAGACCTGCCTGGATGCTCCTGAGTGATGTGCTCTGGGCAACTCTGCTTTGGCGGGGGAGTTGGACTGGATGATCTATAGAGGTCCCTTCCAACTCTGACAATTCCGTGATTCCATGATGAGGTGAGGAACATTTCTGTTGGATCAGAAATGGTTAGAATCTGGTGGCCCTACGAACTACGAATTTGCACCTCCACAGGTACAGAACGTATCTCAGTGCTGAAGTTTTGACCTTCAGTGGAGCCTCGTCATCTTGCTTGCAGAGTAGCACTGCTTTTCCCTGATCTGTGGGGTGGTTTCCTGCAGAACAGATGGGAGCTCAGGTACAGATTTCCCATTAGCTCTGGCAATTCATGGTCACACACAGATTTGTCTCTCCTCTGTCTGTGGGATAGAACATACAGCTTCCCTGTGTCTGAGGAGGGCTTTGAGGTCTAATAGCAGAAGGATGATTGTTTCTTTTACTGGATTATCTAAGCGTGTGAGATGCATTTGCCCACGTTGGCAAGCTCTGTGAGCTGGGTCCCCTCTGGGCTGCTGGAAATGGTGATTTGTTACCTGTGCTGCACGGGTGGCTGGCAGGGACTGTGTGTGTCACTCCCAGTTGTTGGGTCACGCTTTAGCAGCGAGCTGTGAGCCTGCCAGCCCTGCCATTTGGCACTTTCCTCTGTGCCTTAATTAAAAGGGCAAGGAGGCAACATGGAAATAGCTCTTTAGAATAGAAAAATTCTGCACTGCTAACGTTGCTGCGTGTGTTAGTGCTCCATTTGTCGGGGGAAAGGCAGAGGC